CGTTGCGTCAAATTGCTCGCTCTCTCTCCTCTCCTCTCTCTCTCTCTCTCTCTCTCTCTCCCTTTTTCTCCTCCTGACCGGAAGTAGGTCCGGACTGTCCGGAGGCATTTACAGAATAAACGCGCTCCCTTCTATTGATCCCAAAAACAAATTCGGGAGCAGTCCGAGAGTAGTAAAAAATTGACCAAGTGTGCGCGGCGACGCTTTACTCAGAGCCGGCCAGTCATGCGCGTCACCGTTTAGTTTACCTCGCTCACTTTAACCCTCTCCGTGCTTCTCTCGAGCTCCTCTATTTATAGAGAAAGGAAGATTTCCATTCTTTGTGAATATTGTTTCCGCACGGCTACGGACACCTCCAGGAAATTCCTAAGAATCTTTCGTCGGACACGGAACGATTCTTGCTCTTCCGTCGTTCTGCTTATCTTCAATTATACACCGCGCCGTTTCTGTACCGTTCCTGTAATGTTTATTTACTAGAGAAATTACCTGAAGCCAAATGTGTAGAATTTATTCAGGAGACGTTACGTAGAAGGGGACCTTTTACGAGTATTCTTTTGAATCAAGGATGGAGGAGGAAGGCTTTCTCGCGAAAAAGTGAGAAACGTGTAGGAGCGATTTTTCCCACGCCAGAAAACTTTGTTTTCCTAGAAGAGATAATTTTGAAAAATTGATAACGTATTCATAAGTCGTTTTCTTCCTGACTATACTCACAATGTGCATATCAATATCAATATATGCATTTATGTGTTACGCCGGGTTAGGAAGTAACGCGTTATTTATAGCGTCGTTACCGTCACAATTACTTTGATTCGGTAACGAATGGGCAACGACGTTACATTTTCTCATTTGTAACGTCAGCAGCAACGTTTTTGGGGTAACGCGAATGTAATCGTAACTTTTATCGCTGCACTCAAAAAAAAAAAAAAAGAAAAAAAAAAGAAGAAAAAGTTCATCAAAATTTGATGAAAAAAAAATAATAGCCATTGTACCGACTCGTCGGTTTTTGACAGTTTTTAATGGTAATGGTAACGATTAAAGTTACCTTTTTAAATCAATAACGAATAACGAGTAACGAGTTACATTGAATAAATAACTTTTTCCAAAGGTGCATATATGAATTAGGGAAGTACCAGAAGATAATTACCATAATTTTGAATCTACGTGTTTGTCTATCGCAAATGGAGATAAAGCACGTCCATGATCGAGTAGGGTTTAAGAGTCGGGCAGTGTTGAATGATCCTCGTCGACGTGATCGTTTGTAAGATAGATATCACGGACAATGGGCATTCATGTACCGTCTCCCGAGCGAACAGCCCAGGGTAATCTCAATTTCTGCGACTTATCATGAGCGTTAATATACACTTGACGGTATCAAATCGCGAATCGCACCCCCTGGAGGGT